TATCGAATGCTCGAAAAAGAATGCAAACATTCAAAGTGCATCCGTTAATGCCATTACAGTTCTTATGCGTGCCAAAATAAAACTTCCGATGAATTTAAACAATATTCGTGTCCCAGGGGCAGATTTGAGCAATGGAGTTTTTAATAATTCACAACTAGTAAGAGCTAATTTAAACAATGTAAATTTTCAAAATGCAAAACTTCGAAATGTGAATCTCGAGGGTGCGTCCCTTCAAAATGTGAATCTCAAGGGTGCAGATCTCACTGGTGCAAATCTTCGGTATTCAAATCTTCAAGGTGCTGATTTTCATGAATCTTATCTCAAAAATGTAAATTTTGAAGGCGTAAACCTCCGAGTTCAGGATTTCCGAGGATTTGACCTCCGAAATACAGATTTTTGTGGTATATATTTCTAATGTACTAATTTCTGGATGCTGTGAAAATCACTTCCATTTTCTTTTTTTTAAAAATCTTTAATAGTTGAAGTAGCGTTAAAATAGTATAGGTTGACACGATAGCAATAAAATGTAAATAGATAAAATTTGTCAAAATTATTAGGGCAGGATGAAACCCGCGTTGTAAATTAGTAAAACCCGCTATGCAAATCACGTTAGGGGCGTTTAGCTATGTTTTTCACCCTCATGTGATCCACGTAGCGGATTTTACAATTCACAGTGCGGGTTTCACCCTGTCGTAAATTATTTCATATTGTATAATAAAAATGTGTATAAGCAACTAAAGCTTACGAACAACACAGAGTTCAATATTGTAAAATTTTTCGATCTACTAATCCTCCCGATTGGTAAATAATAATATAAATACATGATTCACATAACTCTGTTGGAGAGCTCGCAATGTAATCTAGAACTCTAATTACTCGGACCAGTGAGTTATTGTTGTATGATATGACCATATCCCTATAAGAAATCACTGCACGGGTGCACGGAATTTTAAATGGTCAGTATACAGCAAAAAAGGACTTCGAGACGAATTTTTTATTTGTAGATATCAATATTTAATCAATTAAATTTTAAATATAAAATAGAGATAAAAAATAGAAATAAAAAATACTGCGTAAAAATTATACAAAGTTTTATTATACTAATGCGGGCTAAAAAATTTGCGAATAAATTACATATTTAGAAATATGATCCGGTAAAAATCTCAACTTTGATCAAAATATCACTGAACCTAACCTTATTTTGCTGTGTACTGACCCAAATACGAGACAACACTAAATTGCACGTAAACATATACGAAACAGTGCGCTGAACAATACGTCTAAAACACGTAAAAAGGCGTGGATTCCATACAATATTACACGTATAGAAGTACATTTTTACGTGTT